TGGCTAGTGAAGCAATATCTAGTATATGTATGAGTCAAGCAGAAAAGGTCAGATAATGTGATGTTAGGAAAATGAACCCTTAGATATGTATTTAAATGTTTTTCTTTCATGCATTTGTTTCTAACGCATTTATAAGATTATTTCTTTGTTGCTTTGTATGTCCCTCCCCCACAGTATAACCCCTGCTTTCACTATATTTAATGTCAGTATAATTGGTGGAGGAGATGGGGAAAAACAAGTCGTTTAAGCATACAAGTGGACTCCTTGCAACTATGAGAAGTACAAGTTGTCATGTCCAAAACGAACTTTACAACTTTGGTGCGGGGGAGGGGGTTGATTGGGTGGGTGGGGTGAAGGCAGGGAAGGGATGTGAAGGGTAAACAAAGGAGGAGGCTGCAATGCTTGGTAAGAAATGTACGCATTATCCTGCCCATATAATTGTAACCCCTCTGTACTGTATGTTCACAAAAAATAAAAATTTAAAAAAAAAACAAACTTTCCTTTGCACAGCAATCCTCTGATCGCAGCCTCCTGAGCACTGGTGGCTCCCAGTCACGCTAATACCACAGGCGCCTGGCTCTCCCTCAAAATCTCAATGGGAAATTAAATGAATGAATAAAATGGAGCAAATCGTTGCCCAAGAAGTGGAGAAATTGCATGCAGATAGCCTCCCTGGAAGGAGGCAGGAATAGAAATCCTCATCTGTGGGCTGGGAAGGTGGCTCCGTGGTAGAGTGCTTGCCTTGCATGCATGAGGCCCTGGGTTAGATTCCCCAGCACCACATAAGCAAAAAGAAAAAAGCCGGAAGTGGTGCTGTGGCTCAAGTGGTAGAGTGCTAGCCTTGAGCTGAAGACCTGAGGGACAGCATCCAGGCCCAGAGTTCAGGCCCCATGACCGGGCCCAAAAAAGAAAAGAAAGAAAAGAAAAGAAAAGAAATATCCATTGGTGAGAATTCCCTCCAAAGCATGCAGTGTGGAGGGAATTGGGCAGTGGAGGATTTGGGCAGCCCAAGTCATAGTCAGGGTCAAAACCATGAGCAGTAAGTCACCATAAGGTTCCCTCCTAGATACTCTTGCCCCAAGCCTAAGCATGAAGACACTATCACATGTGGGCTGTAGAATCCTAGCCTGGAATCCTAGTACTTGGAAGACTGAGGAAGGATAATCCTGACTTCAAGGCCAGACTTGGCTACAGCAAGATCTTATTAAAAAAGAGAGAGAGAGGGTGGGAAGGTAGCTCAGTGGTAGAGGGCTTACCTTGCATGC